CATTAAAATACTAAGAAACGTGATTAATTATAGGGAATTTCCCTATTCCAAACATGAACAAAAACCAGTTCAAAATGATTTAATTAATCTATTTTCCTATAAACTTTTCATGCAAATTTTCATACAACATCCTTAATTCCCTTTGCGTGACTACAATCTTTCAATAAAAGTAGGTCCTTCAATTAACTTTCCGCTTGCGTGTAATTTCATGCTTGTTCTTGGTAATAGTCCTCAGATTTGTACATGCTTACATCATTCCACCCCTCATGTTTATAAATAAACTTGTATTTTACACATTATTCTACCACTATTTTGTGAACAAACCAGTAATTTCACAATAACTGATCTAGATCATTCTACCCCCATGTTTATAAATAAACGTGTATTTTACACGAAAACATACTTTTTTTTATTACATAAGAATACATAAGGAAGGTACTTCTTTTGCGCATCTTTCTATATGATTTCTGTTGCGTAAAGTTTATAAATGAATGAGATATGGCGATTTAAGAAAATACACTTTCCCGCCACATTCAAACTATTTGCATTCGGCAGAGTTCCTTTATCTCTTCTGGTATTCCCACTCTCTTCGAGACATCTTCCGTGTTGTGTTTGTTTTTTCTGTAATTTGGATTTCGCTCTTCGGATGATCGAACGTCGCGTCGTTGTTGGACACGCTTTGTGAGGATAGGTGAGGATGGATATAAACGGATCGTCGGATGGTCCAATTCGCGTCGTCTAATCTCCAACGTCAATGATAAATTTTATCGATTATCGCTTTTCAAATACTACACGATTATTTGATATGATCTGATACGTGCGCGATATTATCGAATATTTACTACATTTTCAAACATCGAATCAACCAAAAGATACAATTAAAATACTAAGAAACATGATTAATTATAGGGAATTTCCAGTTCAAAATGATTTAATTAATATATTTTGCTATAAACTTTTCATACAACATCCTTAATTCCCTTTGCGTGACTACAATCTTTCAATAAAAGTAGGTCCTTCAATTAACTTTCCGCTTGCGTGTAATTTCATGCTTGTTCTTGGTAATAGTCCTCAGATTTGTACATGCTTACATCATTCCACCCCTCATGTTTATAAATAAACTTGTATTTTACACATTATTCTACCACTATTTTGTGAACAAACCAGTAATTTCACAATAACTGATGTAGAACATTCTACCCCCATGTTTATAAATAAACGTGTATTTTACACATTACTCTACTACTATTACTATTTTCTATATAAACTAGTAATTTCACAATAACTAAATTATAAATTCTTTTCAAAAAAAAATT